TCCCAAGCCGGGGCTCACAGGTGGCGCTGCGAGGCACAAGACCGCTTGGTGAGTCAGCAAGGAGGTCGGTCTCAGGGTGGGGGGGCGGGCAATGCATGAGGGCTAGCCAGGACACCTCTGACACTAATGGGCCAGGGATGGGGCCCAGCCAGCAGCACAGCACCGCAGGCAGGCTAGTTGGCAAGCGGCCAGCAGTGAAGGCCAGGGGCAGTGCCGCCAGCTGCGGATTGGCTGAGAGCAAAATGCTTTCCTTCGAGCGGGAATCAAACCAGCGACCGAAGGCTTTCTTCACCCTGGAAGCCTACAGTCCTCCAGTCTCCGAGCTGAGCTACCAAAGGCAGGCAAGACCCCCCCAAGGGTGGATGAAGGTGGCAGGTCGCACTTTCCTCAGGGCTCGAGGGCCTCCATGCGCAGGCTCCCTCAGGCAGGGCTTTTGGGAACGATAAGGCAGAGGCACGGGCCCAGCCTGGTTGCAGTGGCCAAGTGGAACTGGGGCCAAAGAGCCTGCTGGTGAGCTCTGCGCCCTCCCGCCCACGTCCCCATCAGCCCACCAGCAGGGAAAGGTGGCTCTGGGCTCGGGCCAAAGCTCGGCGTAGCGGGCTAGCCCGTGACCAGCACGAGGTAGGGGAAGGCCCCAGCTTGGGCCAGTGGCGCAATGGATAACGTGTCTGACTTCAGATCAGAAGACTATAGGTTCGACTTCTATCTTGCTCATGCAGCCTATTTTCCCTGCCAAGAGCTCTCTTGTGCCTGCTGCTCACTGGTGCTTTTTTCGCCCAGCCGCACCACACCCCTTGTCTCCTTCTGCACCCTGCTCCGCCCCCGTGGCCCCGTGCAGCAAACCGGCTTTCGGGCGAGGCGAGGTGCAGCTCCTCCAATGACTCTCGCCTGGGGCTTGCCTCTGCAGGGGTCCCAAGCGCCTGAGAACGCTCCCTTTGGCCCAGCCTGCTTTTCAACTGCGCCGCAGCCGCAGGGCAGGCAGGCGTGGACAGAAAGCCACAGGCCCCGCTGGAGAATGTGGGCGTCAATCCCGCTACCTCTGGCATACTAAGCGAGCGCTCTACCATGTGAGTTAACCCCCCCAATCTTCCGGCGGGGCTGCCGCCACCGCCACCACAGGCCAGGCCTCTTCCCCGTCAACTCTTCTGGCCACAGCTCCCCTCACGCGCTCGCCCCGCCCCAGCCACCGCACTCTCCTCTGCCCCCGTGCACAACAGCCAAAGAACAGGGTCTCCCAAAGAAATGGAGCGAGACGCCTGCCAGGTCTGGCCCTGCTAGCAGCAAGCTCAGGACACGTGTGCCTTCACTCCGGGATGCCCCCACCCCCGAGCTCCCAGCGACACATCCCACGCCGCCGCCATGGCCGAGGCCACTGCTGCCCCCCAAGCATTGCAGGAGGCCACCACTGCTTTGGGCCCTCCATCGAATATTAAGCTCTTCAAAGGGAGGAATAAGGCCACTTTCTGTAGGGGGCAGTAGTGAAGGCCAGGGGCAGTGCCGCCAGCTGTGGATTGAGTGAGAGCAATAATTTTTCTCAGGAAAGCAGGCAACCAGCTTTCCTGCGAGGTGCAGCGGAGGAGGCGGTGTTCCTTCAAGGTCTCTCGCATATGTCCTTGCTCTACCAGGGGCTGCAAGGACCTGAGAACATTCCCTCTGTCCCAGCCTGTTTTTAACTGTGCTGCAGCTGCAGCAGAGGCAGGCCGGGACTAAAAGCTACGGGCCCACCAGATAATGCGGACATCGATTCTTCTACAACCTGCTCGGCCCCCCTGTCTCCATGCAGGAAACCAACTTTCTTGGAAGGCGCAGCAGAGAAGACATAGTCTCTCCAAAGGCTCCAGCAGGGGCCATGAGCTCCTGTGAACGTCTCCTTTAAGCCAGCCTGGCTTTCAGCTGTGCCGCAGCACAGGCATGCTGGGCCAAAAGTGAGACATTCCACTGTAGAATACAGGCATCTATCCTACTACTTCTTGCATTTTTATTGATCACTTTACCTTCTGAGCTAATTCCTTAGCTTGCTTTACCATGCCCCTGCCCTTTAATTCAGAGCCCGTCCTTTTTCCATCCCATTGTTCACCAAGGCACACTGTGCCCCTTCATAAACGCTGTACCAATCTCTTCTTAAATGGTGTGTGTGTTATATGAAATATTGGGTTTCAGTACTAGTTTCTGCAGGCTCTGTGTTGAAATGCTCCAACAATTCACTAATCCTTTTCTGACGTGTTTTTCTCATCCAGTCATTTCAGATAGGATGTGTTTTGATGCCCAGCTAATCATCAAAATTATAAGTTTAACATATTCATTTCTCCCCTCTAGTTCTCCTGTTTTTGTAAATCTACATCGCCTCCTTTTTTGGCTTTCTTGATCCTAATTAATATGACCTTCAAATAAAGGTGGCTTATTATCTCTCTTTACCACTAGAGATCAGCACTGGTTAGAAAATATGTTGTATGAAATTCATTCCTGAAATTGAATGTGTCCTGGAAGCTTAGCTTAGAAATGGTCTGGGAAAGATGCCTGAAGTCTTCCTTCTGATTTCGTATATGAGTATTCCTTATTTAACCAGGCAACTTTATATATATATCACTTTTAAAAAATGATCCCTGTGGGAGCGTCCTCCCAAGTGGGAATGTGCTTTTGCCTGGGGACAAACAGAAGCGGCATGTATTTGTGCCTCTGCTATTTGTTCCTGGGCACACCTGTTTAGGCACACTCTGGCACTCATTGCCCTGGGTCTGGCAGAGGAGGCTGGGGCCAGCACCTGGGCTGGGGGCCTTACCAAGATTGCTGGGGACCTCCAGTGACGGCAATCCAAGAGCACAGAGCCTAACTGACTGCCAAAGTGTTCCTCTTGCCAGACACCTTCTGGTTTCAGGCAGTGCATGTTGCAGCCATATGCACCATCCTGCTCTTTTTTGGCACAGTTTTTTTACAATGGGATCTCCCTCTGTCAAGAAACTGCCACACTGCAAATTAGCAGCACAGAGGACTTGTGTACGTGCAGCACATATGGTTCGCAGTCCTGCAGATAGCTTAGCAGTGCCACAAACTGCACATGAGCACTCATGGGGACATGTCCTGTTGGGTCCACTAGGACAGCGTTTCTCAACCCATGGATCACAACCCAAAAATGAGTCATAAGAATATATGAAAGGGTCACAAACAAACTTTAAAAATGGATTCTCCTTTAAAGGAGATAAACATGGGGAACTGTGACTTTTCCCTTGCCTGCTGTCAGAGTTTCAGTCTGCAAGGGGCTGCTTGGGGCTCTGCATGCCCCACACACCCACCCTTTGCTGCACATACTATGGGACTGGGACCTGGGGGTAAAGGGCAGAGGGTTGGGAGTGAGGGGCAATGGGTCGAGACTAGGCATCAGTGTTTACAAATGGATCCTGATACAAAAAAGGTTGAGAACTACTGCACTAGGAGGCATATGCCTTTAACCTTGATAAACATAATTTTGATTATTTGGATGCACTAAATAAGCTGATACTCTTCCTATAAAATGGCCTTTTGAAAACTTTTGTTGAAAGATGACTTAGAATCTAGGCTTTTACCATGTGTCAATTTTCAGTCTAAACTTTTTTATAACATCAACTAAAGTATGTGTTAAAATATTAACTGAAGTCTGTGTTTAATATATTACCTAAAGCAGTGACTCTCAACATTTTTTTTACCAGGACCCATTTGTAAATGCTAATGGCCAGTCCCAAGCTAGTAAATAGTTTAAGTAGAAAACAGCCCCTGGCCCTGCCAGTGCCCCTCACTCCCAACCCACAGCTCTAGCAGTGGAGGTAGCAGCTGGGCCATGGTGGCAGGGTAGAGCCACGGCCCAGGGCACAAGCAGCAGGCAGTGAGAGGAGGTGAGGGCAGCGTGCCCTTCCCCTCCCCCACTTTACTCCTCACACTTTTGGCACCACGGCTGGAACTCTGCCAGCCTACAAAAGGAAAGCCCTATTTTTCTGTGATGGTCATGACCCATTCAAATATTTTTCCACTCACTTTTGGGTCATAACACACAGGTTGAGAAATGCTGACCTAAAGTATGTATTTAACATAATAGGATTAAGTATGTGTCCCTTTATATATAATAGAAACTATAGCCATACCATGTCCCGGGAGGACTTTTCTGTAACATTAGAGATATATTTTAGGGCCTGTCATAACTCCCTCTGGGTATGTCTACACGTTCATTAACGATATGTAATGACAGGTACTAACTTAATGTGCCTTAATTGGCACTACTGTGCATTAGTACAAACAAAGTCTTTTTGTGACGTTAATGCACAATAAACTAAATCTACTGCACATTAAGCACAGGTTTTGCCCACTGCACTAATGTGCAATAGAATTAGTCTACTGCACTCAAAGTGTCTCATGTAGACGTACCCTCTTGGGAGCAAACCTGAATTCTAATATCTACTTTTAAAATCCCTTTTTTATTCAATGTCAAAAAGCTTGAGATATAAGAAGCATGTTGCTTTATAAATAAACTGGGAATTATATTTTAAGGTTGGTATCTTAGCCCTTTTCATTTAAATTATATTTTGCCATTGACTTCAACAAGGCTAAGATTTCACCCTATATTATTTTTATTACTGCAAATTTATTACTGCTTTTATATATTACTGCTGTTACAGCTATTATTGCCAGTGTTATAACTATAAATATTATATAGTCATATTTAGGATTGATCACGATTATTTTTAGCACAGCATTTATCAATTTTCTCACAAAAGCTTCCCAAAGACCCCGTTCTCTTTCTTGAAGTCTATCCTAGAACCTCCCTCTGCCCCCACATACACACTTTCTGTTTCCTTTGCATTGCTTGCAGTTAGTCTTTCCATAGACCCGTTGCATTTAACTCAATCTACATAAAAACTGAAACGAAAAAAGCAGAAGCCAAACTTTCTGTTCAAAATGAAAATGCATCTACTAATATAAGTATTTATAGCAAGAATACCATTTTCCTTCTTTCTCTCTCTCTCATGTTTAAGAAAATTGGCTCTGAAATATCATCCTGACAAGAATCCTGACAATCCAGATGCAGCAGATAAATTTAAAGAGATCAACAGTGCTCATGCCATTCTGACTGACCTGTCCAAGAGAAACATCTATGATAAGTATGGGTCATTAGGGCTGTATGTGGCAGAACAATTTGGTGAAGAAAATGTTAACACATACTTCATGCTTTCAAGCTGGTGGGCAAAGGTGAGTGATAAAAGAAATGCCATATTTTCTATTTAAGAGTTTACTGAGGAAGCTATGAAATCACTCAGCCTCCTAACTTATTTTAGCCCGGATCCTAAAACTTGTTCCATTTAGGTGGTTCTTTGAACATACCTGGAGGCAGCTGTGTCCTTGAGCAGGGGTTCCCTCTTCCGGCTCAATAAGAACAGGGTCTTAAATCCTAGAAGCTCCATTAAATGTCACGAATGTTTAGATACTGCCAAAGGCAGAATTAAGCTCTCCTTCAAAAAGTGCTAGTCAAGATTTTTCCTTTGTTCCTTTAGTTTACTAAATACTTAAATACGGTGCATGTTTTGTGACACTTTGAGACATTAATTATATTTGAAACTGGAGCATCAGGTTAATTTTGACTTTCTTTTCAATAATGACTAAATGAAAATGACTCATTTCTCAAAAATGAGAGTCCTACTTGTGTGACAACCAGCTAATAAGTTATTACAGTACAAATTTAGCTGTGTACTTTGCTATATATAGCACACAGCATACGTAAGCAATAATAAAACATAACAGTGTGTGATTATGGTGTCATATATATGCACACCTTCAGTATACTGTGAGGGGGCAGGAGAGAGGAAGTAGAATAATAGGTGAGAACTGCAGAGAGGAGGAAGAAAGCAGGAAAAGAAAAGAATGATACATCAAAAATTGGCAAATTGATTGAGGAAAAGCATATTTTGAATGTTCTGATGACATAAGAGCTCTGCTAGTTTGGCATATTATGTAATTGTAACCCTGTGATGTTTTTGTGTGTAAATATATCATAAATCCCCACGTTTCAAATCAGAGTGTCAGCAAGTGTAACAAGCCAGCAGCAGCACAAATATGGAAAATCCCACACTTTGGTTTCTATTCACCTCGCTATTTCCATCAACAAAATCTTAGGGGAACAAAGATTCCAGTGGTATAAATGGAAAATTATCTTCATTGTGTGGCTCAAAAACACTGTGATGGAAGGGAATATGAAAGATCTGATTTTAGAACACGAGAACATAAAAATTGCCATCCTGGATCAGACCAGTGGTCTAATTCATCCAATATCTTTTCTCCAAGAGCCTGTACTTGGCTGGTTTCAAGAGTACAGAAAGGCATAGTTCATACAGCAGGGATAGAAACTACTAAAAGACAAATTAATTAATCAGGCTTTCAAAACTAGACATCTGAAAGTCTGAATTTGTGCTGATAAAGGAGGATAAGCTTGGGCAAAATCTCCATCTTCAGTGCCTTCATTTAAATTTTGCACCTGCCCCCTATTTAAATCCAGTTTAGGCAACTCATAGGTTCC